TTTCCTTCTAATTGTTTTGTGGCAAGAGAAATGACGAGAATTGGTTAAGTGATTTTTCGCGACATTTTTTTCGCCAATAAGCTTTTTTCGTAAATAAAAGATTTAAATAAAATAATTTAATTAATTTTTCGCGACGTTTTTTAAAAACCGTCGCAAATAAACTTTTTTCGTGAATAAAAGATTTAAAAAATAATAATTTAAATTGATTTTTAGTGATTTTTTTTTAAAAACGTCGTCAATAAACTTTTTACATGAATAAAAGATTTAAAAATAAAACAATTTAATTGATTTTTCGCTACATTTTTTAAAAATGTCGCAAATAAAATTTTTACGTGAATAAAAGATTTTTAAAAAATATTTTAATTGATTTTTTGCGACATTTTTAAAAAACGTAGCCAATAAAATTTTTACCTGAATAAAAGATTTAACAATAAAATAATTTAATTGATTATTCGCGACGTTTCTAAAAAACGTCGGCGATAAACTTTTTACGTGAATAAAAGATTTAAGAAAAAATAATTTCATTGATTTTTTGCGACATTTTGAAAAAACGTCGCAAATAAATTTTTCCGTGAATAAAAGATTTAAAAATAAAATAATTTAAAAACTTTTTACCTGAATAAAAGATTTTAAAAAAATAATTTAATTGATTATTCGCAACGTTTCCAACAAACGTTGCCAATAAACGTTTTACATGAATAAAAGATTTAAGAAAAAACAAATTTAATTTATCAAATTAAAACCAAATTAACACTCAATTCATCAAATTAATATTCAATTAATCGAATTAACACCAAATTAACACTCAATTTCTTCTAATTAACATTCAATTTTTTCTAATAAGCATTTAATTCACTAAATTAACACTCAAATTCAACTAGTTAACATTAAATTAATCAAATAAATTTTCAATTTCATTTAATTAATACTCAATTCATCAAATTAACATTCAAATTGTTAAACTAACATTCAAATTTATCAAATTGAAATTCAATTTCATCAAATTAATATTTGATTTCATCAAATCAATACCAAATTAACATGTAATTTAATCCAATTAAAATTTAATTTATCAAATTAAACCAAATTAACATTCAATTCATCAAATTAATATTCAATTAATCGAATTAACACCAAATTAACACTCAATTTCTTCTAATTAACATTCAATTTTTTCTAATAAGCATTTAATTCACTAAATTAACACTCAAATTCAACTAGTTAACATTAAATTAATCAAATAAATTTTCAATTTCATTTAATTAATACTCAATTCATCAAATTAACATTCAAATTGTTAAACTAACATTCAAATTTATCAAATTGAAATTCAATTTCATCAAATTAACATTTGATTTCATCAAATCAATACCAAATTAACATGTAATTTAATCCAATTAAAATTTAATTTATCAAATTAAAATCAAATTAACATTCAATTCATTAAATTAATATTCAATTAATCAAATTAACATTCAAATTATCAAATTAACATTTAGATTTATCAAATTGACATTCAATTTCATCAAATTAACATGTAATTTCACCAAATCGACAACAAATTAACATTGAATGTTAATTAACATGTAATTTCATCTGATAAATTAAATGTTAATTTGATAAATTTGAACATTCAGATGAAATTTGGTTGAATTTGAGTGTTAATTCGATTAATTGAATATTAATTTGATTAATTTGGTTTTAATTTGATAAATTAAATTTTAATTAAATGAAATTACATGTTAATTTGATGTTGATTTGATAAATTACATATTAATTTGATGAAATTGAATGTCAATTTGTTAAATCTAAATGTTAATTTGATGAATTGAGTGTTAATTAAATGAAATTGAAAGTTTATGTAATTAATTTAATGTTAAGTAGTTGAATTTGAATGTTAATCTAGTGAATTAAATGCTTATTAGAAAAAATTGAATGTTAATTAGATGAAATTGAGTGTTAATTGGATGAATTGAAGGTTAATTTGGTTTTAATTTGATAAATTAAATTTTAATTGAATGAAATTATACGTTAATTTGGTGTTGATTTGATAAATTACATATTAATTTGATGAAATTGAATGTCAATTTGTTAAATCTAATTGTTAATTTGATGAATTGAGTGTTAATTGAATGAAATTGAAAATTTATTTGATTTACTTAAATGTTTACTATCAGCGACATTTTTTTAATTTTGTCGCAAATTTGCTTTTGACAATTTTATTTGCGACATTTTTTAAAAATNGCTTTTGACAATTTTATTTGCGACATTGTTGCGAAAAGTCAATTCCCTCCTATTTGTTTTTGGCGGGAGGAACAACGGAAATTGACAAATTAAATATTTTCAATAAATTTTGACGATATTTGTAAAATTGTCGCCCATAACCTTATATATAAACTNACAACGGAAATTGACAAATTAAATATTTTCAATAAATTTTGACGATATTTGTAAAAATGTCGCCCATAACTTTATATATAAAATNATTTGATAAATTACATATTAATTTGATGAAATTGAATGTCAATTTGTTAAATCTAAATGTTAATTTGATGAATTGAGTGTTAATTAAATGAAATTGAAAGTTTATGTAATTAATTTAATGTTAAGTAGTTGAATTTGAATGTTAATTTAGTGAATTAAATGCTTATTAGAAAAAATTGAATGTTAATTAGATGAAATTGAGTGTTAATTGGATGAATTGAAGGTTAATTTGGTTTTAATTTGATAAATTAAATTTTAATTGAATGAAATTATACGTTAATTTGGTGTTGATTTGATAAATTACATATTAATTTGATGAAATTGAATGTCAATTTGTTAAATCTAATTGTTAATTTGATGAATTGAGTGTTAATTGAATGAAATTGAAAATTTATTTGATTTACTTAAATGTTTACTATCAGCGACATTTTTTTAATTTTGTCGCAAATTTGCTTTTGACAATTTTATTTGCGACATTGTTGCGAAAAGTCAATTCCCTCCTATTTGTTTTTGGCGGGAGGAACAACGGAAATTGACAAATTAAATATTTTCAATAAATTTTGACGATATTTGTAAAATTGTCGCCCATAACCTTATATATAAACTAAAGAAATTAACAAAATAATAACTTAATTAATTTTGCGCGACGTTATTTAAAAAGTGTCGTCAATAACTTGTTACATAAAATAAAAAATTAACAAAATATAAACTTACATAATTTTTTGCGACATTTTTCTAAAAATTTCGCAAATAAATTTTTACATAAAATAAAAAATTAATAAAATAATAACTTAATTAATTTTTTGCGACGTCTTTACCACTTACTTTTTACATAACATAAAATATTAACAAAATGTTAACGTAACAAAGCCCACATCTCCCTCGCGCGACTCTGTCTGCCTCAAAACTCCATCGCCTCTCTCTCTCTGCCATCGTTTTGCTCTCAGACCATCTCCTCTCTCGCCCCTTCTTCAGCACAAGCTCAGACCATCGCCGCTCTCTCTCTGCCATCGATTTGCTCGGAGCTCGCCTCTCTCTGCTACATCGATTTGCTCAGACCATCGCCTCTCTCTGCCAACAGATTTGCTCAAACCATCGCCTATCTCGCCCCTTCTTCAGCACAAGCTCAGACCATCACCGTTCTCTCTCTGCCATCGATTTGCTCAGAACATGAGAATTGTTTATGCCATTTTGTGCCTGGAATGGGAGCTTGGTTGCCGATTAGACATATCCAGATATATTACCCAGTTGGTTGGAATAAGGGTTTTTTTTAATCCAGAAAACTTACAGGAGATAATGCAGTCTGGAGCGATTTTCTTGGGGAACTCCTGGTCTTGATGGTTCAGTTTTTCTAGCTACTTTCTTTTGGCTATGTTTGTCTTGCAAATGGCCTTTGCAACGAAGGGCCCACAAGCTGAAGTGTTATGTTAATGCAATTGCAAAATGTTCTTTCGAATTATTTGGGGTTCTTCTGTTTTGGGTTGGTTGTTGTCTTTTCCATTTTAGTTGCCTTGGATTTACTTGAGGATTATTGAAAGTCTTAGCTTGCAAACACAAATGTTTTGTTTTTTCTCTTGTCCACAATTCTAATCAGGTGATTTTTGCATGTAAAATGTAATTAATGCAAGTCTTTCTAGTCTTATGATTACTCTTCCCTAAATTGTTCAAATTCTCCCCAATCTGGAATCCTATTTCTGCAAAGTATTCTAAAATGTTGTATGGTTTGGTCTCTTTAGTTAGTTAACTTGTTTACTCGTTTGGCTGCTAAGCTTGATTAGCTGCTTGAATTTCTTTGTCAGAGCTGGATATTAGTCACTTTCATGGGATCAGTTCATGTCTTGAACCATAAAAACTTAACAGAACCATTTCTGATGGATTACTGAGAAGAAGGTTCAGTTGTTTAAAGTTCAATATCTCTGCGAGTCTAATTGACCCACTCGGTTTTTCAAGCCAGTTTGCTAAATCGTTTGATCAAAACCCCCAGCTTGTCCTAGTTCTTCTTGTTACTTATCTCAGGATTTTTGCGGACAATTTCATACTTATAATTGCGACTTCATTATTGTATAAATTCGAAATAATCACTAAGGTGAAAACCCAATTTTGTTTTATTTTCAGAGGCATCTTTTGCTTGGAGTAATATCTCAGATCATTAAGGTAAGATTCGTTCATTTGTCTAATTATCCAAATTCCCAATGATGATATGGAAATTATCATTACACAATTTGAATTTTGAACTATGGTATCTAATCAAAGCTTTGCAGGATTTGCATCCCTATATCTGAGATTAGCTACTATCTATGAATGCATCTTACTGTGTATTTTGAGTTAATTTCTGACATTGCTAATGTATGCTATTCATAGATACAACTGCTGGCAGACCTCAATTTAAAGAAAACACCTCAGTTGGTGGATTTGGTTGATGATAGTAAGGTGAAGCATGTTCTCTCACTTCAATGACAGCAATTTGATGCATTTTGTTATCTAATATCTAAAACAATCAAGATGTGGAGGAGCTGATGAGTATACCACCTGAGAAAATCTTGCTTAGGTGGATGAATTTCCAGCTGAAAAAAGCAGGATACAAGAAAACAATAACAAACTTCTCTTCAAAAAATATAAAGGTAGATGGGTTCAATTGATCAGGATTTGTATCCATGGTTTAGATATTGCTAGTTTTTGAGCCTACAGTGTGTTTTACATGCAGGATGGAGAGGCCTATGTCCATCTCTTGAATGTTCTTGCTCCTGAGCATAGTAATCCATCTATATTGGCAGCAAAAGATCCTTCACAAAGAGCAAAGCTAGTTCTTGAACATGCTGATAGGATGGGTTGCAAAAGATACTTAACAGTGAAAGATATTGTTGAAGGTTCTCCGAATCTTAACCTTGCTTTTGTAGCACACATTTTCCAGCTTAGGTAAGAAGCAACCTTCTTCATGAAGATGAAATCTGTATGTGGTGTTACACGCAGATTCTTTAGCAGTTGTACAACTCTCTGAGGTTTGGCCAGCCTCTATTAGAAGCACCTAATGAAACTGGTAGTAGACATTTCATCAGATGCAGTGTCCTAGTGAAAAATGGGATACTAATGTAGGTCCATTATCATGGCCAGGAAAAAAACAGTGTTCCTTATAACCATGCCATGATGGTGTTAGACTAAAATTGCTGAAAGAATTATCTGATGGGGATCAACCTGTTCTACTCTCTTGCTATAATAGACTAAATCATGCATTTTGGATTTCAATGTTTATGAGTATGGTAGAAGCTGTCAGCCTGCCTGGTAGGTATTGTTTGATTTTGATTCTTGGTGGGTCCAATTGAGCATATTTGAACACTAGGTGTGTTAGCCATGGAGAGTATCTCATCTATTGAGCTTGTCAAACATTGATGATTTGAAATTTAACTCCTGATTTTGTCACGTCTATTGTCTGGTAACTGTGTGCACTTTACTTGTAGGAACGGGCTTTCAAGCCAGACCAAGCAAATATCTTTTCTTGAAACTTCACCAGATGACACCCAAATCTCTAGAGAAGAGAAAGCATTTCACTTTTGGCTGAATAGCCTGGGAAATTCAACTTACATAGACAACGTCTTTGAAGACCTAAGAAAAGGGTGAGTGTTTTCCTTATTACAATATACTACTCTTTTTTTGCCCCTACAATTGTATTCAATTGGTATTTTCATGCTTTATAAACGTACATGATTCCTGAACAAAGTATTTTAATGCTTTATAGTTTGTACATGATTCCTGAACAAAGTAAACTATAGCAAAGACCTTGAACTCTGCTTTGTAGTCATATCTTTGATGAACTTAGATTGTCAGTGACAAATTACCTGGAGAAAATTGGAAATACCATGTTGGGAAAAGTTAAAACTTATTTTTAGTTTAAATATTCCAAAAATTGTACGAGGTTGAAGCTAAATCTAAGGTTTCTTTCAGGATAGTGTGGTTATGTCTTTTTCTTGTATAGACTTTTGAAGCTTGAATATTGGTGTTGTTAGTTGCCATAAATTTAATTGGTTTTTTGTCTGATTTGTAAGGGTGGAGCTAAGAAGGTCTCTGCTCCTAGCAAGGATGCTCCCATGTTCGTTGTGGGGGTCAATGAGAAAGAATTCAAGCTGGAGCTTAACATTGTCTCCAACGCTAGCTGCACCACCAACTGCCTCGCTCCCCTTGCAAAGATTGTTCTTAGTCTCTTTTTTATGGTCTCTATGAAATTCATTCAATTAGAACTATGCAACAAAATTTGGCATTGTTGAGGGTCTTATGACCACTGTCCACTCCATCATCAGTAGGTTTTGTTAGTTGTTTATGTGTTTGGCCTTTCAAAGAGATTCTTTGTATTGATATTGTTCCATTTTGTTTCAGCCACACAAAAGACTGTTGATGGACCACCTTCCAAGGACTGGAGGGGTGGTAGAGCTGCTTCTTTTGACATTATACCTAGTAGCACTGGAGCTGCAAAGGTACTTGTAAATCCCTAAGGTTGCATTAAGTAATCAAATGATCAATGACGGACTTCTTTGTGAGATGGTCTGTAGGCATGACTTAGCTTTTTTCAGACTGAGCTGTGATATCAGATAAACATAGTGATTGTTCATGTATTTTATTTTCCTCTGTTGGGCTATTGTCTGTAATGGCTGGCTCTAATTCTTGCCCTTTTTTCCCTCTTGAAAAAAACTAATTTTGGAAGGCGGTTGGGAAAGTGCTACCAGCGCTGAATGGGAAATTGACTGGAATGGCCTTCTGTGTTCCTACCATTGACGTTTCTGTGGTTGATCTAACTGTGAGACTGGAGAAGGGGGCTAGTCATGATGAAATCAAAGCTGCTATCAAGTAAGGATGTTGGTTTCGTTTATTTTTCCAGTTGAAAGTAAATCTATAGACTTGTTGCAGAAATACAAACTCTTGTTAATTTTATATATTTTGGTGGACTTGGATTAACTATTAGGCATGGGATGGATGCTCAAGGTCCTGCTGATTATTTGTTGCACTGTGTTTAGTTTGATCTTATTATTGCGGTGACGGTCATCAAGTAAGAGTCTAAGGGAAAACTAAAGGGAATCTTAGGTTACACTAAAGATGACGTAGTGTCCACTGACTTTGTAGGTGACAACTGGTGAGAATGTANATGACGTAGTGTCCACTGACTTTGTAGGTGACAACAGGTGAGAATGGATATTTCAATTACATGCTTTGTGTTTTGATTCTCCTCTCATTACTTGTTCAACTTTGTCCATGAACCACACATTTAGGCATGCTAATAGTTGATGGATTCCTGCTTGTGAAATTTATTGCCGATATACTTTTTGATCAGTCTTTGGCTTAATTTTTCAATCCTTATGACTAGGGCGAAGAAATGTTTTTTTCAACTTATGCAATCTCATTTTCTTTGACAAGTACATGATCCATATTTTTCTGACTTATTAGGTCCAGCATGTTTGATGCTAAGGCTAGAATTGCTTTGAATAAGAATTGCTTGGAATTGTTCTGATCTGACTTCAGTCTGGGCTAGTACTGATCTGTTGAGCTTGGAGATGGTATTTTAAGGCATGGAGCTGGACTGCTGGAGCTGTTCAAGTTTAAGAGACATTAAATGTAATTAGAGATGGTTTAAATCCTCTTGAAGGATTAAAACCATTTTTTCAATTTTTAGAACTTCTTGGTCTTTGATTATTGTAATTCATTATTTTTGGAAATAAAATTTATTTTTTTAAAAAAAGATGTGAAATATATGTTAAATGGAAAAGATGTAAAATGTATTAATTATGTTAATTTTTTATTGAACACAGGTATTATTAGTATGAAACATTTTATTGGAATATTATTTTTTATGAATTATTTAAAAAAAATGAACTTTTTTGTGACGATTTTAATTTCGTCGCAAATGTATTTATTCAATTATTTTTTATATTTTTTATTTATGTAAAAAATTATTTGCAATTTTTTTTACGTCTCAAAAAATTAATTTAATTATTATTTTTTATTTTTGTAAAAAATTATTCGCAACGAATTTTTTACGTTGCAAAATATTAATTAAATTATTATTTTTGTATTTTTATTTATGTAAAAAATTATTTGCGACGATTTTTTTACATTGCAAAAAATTAATTTAATTATTATTTTTTATTTTGTTACACGGGTGGAATAGATTTTAGCTAAGTTTTTTTTAACTTTTTGCGACGTTTTTTCGTCGCAAATTGTTTTTTTGCGATGAAAATAAATTTCCGTCGCAAAATACTTTTTGCGACGAGATTATTGCGACGAACACGCGACAAAAAAAAAGTCGCAAAAAATAATTGGCGACGATTTATTTTGAATTTAGTGACGAAAAAAATCATCGCAAAAAATATTTTTATTGTAGTGTTGGAAATGTCTTATTGTTGGGAATTGATTTTATTTCTTCATTCTATATATTGATATTGCGTAAACTTGAGATCGGATAAACTGTCACTGATTTCTTTCAAAAGTTATGATATTTGTGAAACGAGACCAACTTGTTTTATATATTTTAAAAATCTTATCCGAGTTTGGGAGGATTTTCCTACAAAGCTTAGTGCTCACCCCCAACAAAAAATATTTATTTTTAGATTTCGCTTTAGAGGAAGAGCTCGGAGTTGATGAGTAGGTAGTTTGAAAAACTTAATTGGATGGAAGCGTAGATCCGGAGGGGGATGTCTAGAATTGTTCTTTNCTCTTTACTGATGTACTTTATGCGCCAAATATACAGCGTAATCTCTTGTTTGTGCCACGTTTAGATGATAAATGTTTTGAAGTCTATTTTTGCTCTTCTAAAGTTTCTATTGGTAAATATGGTCGTATTTTTGCATGGGGGACTAAAGTTGATGGTCTTTACCATTTAAATATTGCTAGTGACAATAATAAAATTGGTTCTTCTTCTACTTATATCGATTTCTCTTGTGATGTCAAAGTTGATTTTATTTTATGGCATATGAGACTAAGTCATATTAATTATAATAAAATGAAAAAGATGGTTAACATTGGATTGATTCCAAATTTATATCTTGACTTGAAATCATGTAAATCTTGTATAAGTGGAAAAATGACTAGAAAGCCATTTGAAAAATTAGAAAGAGGTAAAGATTTGCTAGAATTAATACATTCGGATATTTGTGGTCCTCTAAATGTTAAAACCTATCGTGTTGTGGAATATTTTATTATTTTCACTGATAACTATTCAAGATATGGTTATATATATTTACTAAAGAATAGATCAGATGCCTTACAAAATTTTATTGAATTTAAGGTAGAAGTAGAAAACCAACTAGGTAGAAAAATTAAAACATTAAGGACGGATTGAGGTGGTGAATACATGACTGAAATTTTTGAATCTGTTTGTAAAAAAAATGGAATAATACATCAATTAACAATTTCTTATACACCTAAACAAAATGGTGTAGCCAAAAGGAGAAATAGAATACTTTTTGACATGGTTAGATCTATGCTTAGTCATGCACACTTAAGCACTAGTTTTTGGAGTGAGGCTATTTCTACCGCCATTTATATTCTTAATAGAGTACCCTCTAGAATAATAGGAATGACACCAAATGAAATTTGGAGGGGTACAAAATCAAGTCTTTCTCATTTAAAATTTTGGGGTAGTTCAGCTCATGTGTAAAATTTTAGGACCTAATAGAGGGAAATGAGATCCTAAATCAAGAAAGTGTACTTTTATTGGATATTGTGAAAATTCTATTGGCTATAGATTTGTAATTCACCANCTCTTTACTGATGTACTTTATGCGCCAAATATACAGCGTAATCTCTTGTTTGTGCCACGTTTAGATGATAAATGTTTTGAAGTCTATTTTTGCTCTTCTAAAGTTTCTATTGGTAAATATGGTCGTATTTTTGCATGGGGGACTAAAGTTGATGGTCTTTACCATTTAAATATTGCTAGTGACAATAATAAAATTGGTTCTTCTTCTACTTATATCGATTTCTCTTGTGATGTCAAAGTTGATTTTATTTTATGGCATATGAGACTAAGTCATATTAATTATAATAAAATGAAAAAGATGGTTAACATTGGATTGATTCCAAATTTATATCTTGACTTGAAATCATGTAAATCTTGTATAAGTGGAAAAATGACTAGAAAGCCATTTGAAAAATTAGAAAGAGGTAAAGATTTGCTAGAATTAATACATTCGGATATTTGTGGTCCTCTAAATGTTAAAACCTATCGTGGTGTGGAATATTTTATTATTTTCACTGATAACTATTCAAGATATGGTTATATATATTTACTAAAGAATAGATCAGATGCCTTACAAAATTTTATTGAATTTAAGGTAGAAGTAGAAAACCAACTAGGTAGAAAAATTAAAACATTAAGGACGGATTGAGGTGGTGAATACATGACTGAAATTTTTGAATCTGTTTGTAAAAAAAATGGAATAATACATCAATTAACAATTTCTTATACACCTAAACAAAATAGTGTAGCCAAAAGGAGAAATAGAATACTTTTTGACATGGTTAGATCTATGCTTAGTCATGCACACTTAAGCACTAGTTTTTGGAGTGAGGCTATTTCTACCGCCATTTATATTCTTAATAGAGTACCCTCTAGAATAATAGGAATGACACCAAATGAAATTTGGAGGGGTACAAAATCAAGTCTTTCTCATTTAAAATTTTGGGGTAGTTCAGCTCATGTGTAAAATTTTAGGACCTAATAGAGGGAAATGAGATCCTAAATCAAGAAAGTGTACTTTTATTGGATATTGTGAAAATTCTATTGGCTATAGATTTGTAATTCACCATAGTGATGGATCAATGGGAGTCGATGAATGTGACGCCCCAAAATTCGGGGGTCCGTTGATTGCCCATTAACCCGCGGAATGCTTGTGGATACCGAGTAACTCGATATCTCAACGTTGTGCCCATTTACCTGGGTCCATCCTTTATTAAACATTTGGGCAGAGTCTCCTTTGTAAGAGGAACTCTACTCAAAACACAACCTGTGCATTATATAATAACAAGACTCATCCGATGTTCAATATTCAACAATGACCACACCGGGTTCATTTATAAGTAAACATTGGCCACACCGGGTCCAATTATCCATACCCATACAAACATGCAAGACTATATTAAAACGGTCTATATAAACTCTATTACAATTCATTTACACATTACATGCCAAAATTTAATTACAAGTCCAATTTTTACAAAAGAAATGGATTGGAAGCCACAAGTCGGCTTTACTTCCTCCTTAAGTGCCCGAGTGAGTGTCGTCCCTCGGCGTATGACCCGTACCTGAAATGCTTCCCATATAGGGTGAGCCAACGCCCAATAGAGTATATCCTACAAGGGCTACTCTCCACCTAAGTGCACATGCAATGTTCACATTTGACAGTTCATATTCACATCAATATTCCAAGTAAGANTATATCCTACAAGGGCTACTCCCCACCTAAGTGCACATGCAATGTTCATATTTGACAGTTCATATTCACATCAATATTCCAAGTAAGAATATACAACTCTATATTGGAATTCATCATGCCATGCAATGAAATGAGATGAAACTCACTCATGCAACTTTAACTCGAGTCCTCACCGACTCCCACAACACAATGCAACGCATATGTGTAAAACAACGTCTTTGATGAAACACATCCAAAGATCATTTTGAAATCAACCATATGTCATAAAACCATTTCATTCTTGGATGTTTTTTATCAAATGAATAATTTATATATCAAAATCATGTGCCTTTATGGGGTATCGGATTCAGGAATCTCACCTTCGGCTCTGTACGCCGTTACACTTTTCTGGAATTTCACCGCCGGTAAGTGTATGAACCAAGTTGCCGGGTTTTTCACCCGAGGGAGTATCTAGCCCTACTTGCTATACCCGACACAAGTTTTCTTATGCATGTAACCGTGCGACTTCGTAGGACGTTCCATCCCACTTTTTTGAGCCCACCATCAAGCACCAATGTTGGTGTTGATCACCCCATACAACCCTATACCCACACTCATGCATGTAGCCCATGAATGTGATGTCAATTCCATATCCATATTGCAATGCATGCCAAATGAACAATTTTTTTTACATATCAATGTATACCATGACAATT